CCAGGGATGGGGGAACGAAGAATGACATAAACATACAAGCTCGGAGGTCCGCGCGGATGTTTCTGATCGGCGCTGGACTCCCCTCCCTGGCCAGGGGCGCGGCGCTGGAGGCGCCGCCAGGGGGGTTCAGCGCGGATCCGAGAAATCCGCGCGGATCTCCGAGCTTGTATGCTTGTGTCACTCTTGGTTCCCCCAGGGGAGTAGCGGTATCGGTACCTTTCGGTCTCCCCAGACTGGGCCGCGGATCACTCTGCCTGGCCAGTCGCTGAGCCAGTTGCCCGCCGCCAAGCTCTGCGCCTTCAGCGCTCAGCGCGGGCTGCGGGCCGTGGTGGACGTGCCGCGGCTGTCCGAGCAGCCGCTGCTGAGCTGCGCTGGCGGCCGGGCGGTGTGCGTCTGGCGGGCGATGCTGAACGAGGTGTCGTCGAGGACAAGATATCCCGTACCATTAAGTCGGGCCTGTCCCTCTACAGGAGGAATATGCAAAAATAGCAACAAATTAGTATCGCGACGATTCTTCTAGTATGTTTGATAATTTGGGGTATGTTTTGATTGTTTGTTTCCTTCCAAGATCCGCCTGCAGGGGGACATGCCCGACCTAACCCTAACACTAATGATACGATGAAGACGTGGCCTCACTGAGCTCTCCTTTTTCGCACTAGTGCTAATAGATATGGGCGGTGTGGCTCGGTACACCTGCAGCAAAGACCCCTCATCCCTACTGATCCTGGCCCTCCTAAATTCTTCACGCTTCGCGTATCCCCACCAGCCGCCGACCCCGCGTACGGCGGTGGTACGGACTTCGCGCTGAGTGGTTCAGCCTTCAGCGTTGTCGCTTCGGTTCTCCCTGCCCGCTTTCGGCTAGGAGAGCTGCTCGGAGCTTGGCGCCGACAGGGCGACTTTCTCCGTTGCAGTCGCACTGCTGTCTGCTTCACTTCGGTGTGGCTGGCGCCTATGTGCGTTCGCCTTAATGCGGAGCATTTTGTTCAGTGCATGTGCACACCACGCATCGCGTGTAATTTGCCGTGTTCCGTTGCCCCGGGCATCGCTGTTGCCGCCTGACCGTTGTCGTGGGGCCGCCGACCAAAAAGTATCCCCACCAGTCGACCATGTTGATCTCTTGCATGGTCCCTGGCGGCCGCGCCCACGGCATCCTCTTGCTACCTCGACCCGGACTCGAGGTGCGGGCCTTGCTGTCCCAGCAGCCTCAGCCGCCGGTTCGAGCTCGAGAGCGCGTGTGGCCACCTGATCCGGTGGTGCGGGAGTTTACGGTGTCGAGTACCTCCACCGTGTCCCTGGCTACTTGCCCGTCCCTAGGTGACCTCGCGGACGGATTGCGCAGGATCATTATTTCCCAACGTGAACCAGGTGTGCGACTTTGGTGGCGCCGCTCAGTGCACCAGTTTGGGCCTTTTCGGCACGCTTGGCAGTGGCCGCAGGTACTGGCTCGCCGCCCCCCTGGTCCCATCATGCCCATCCTGGTATGCAGTCCGCGCCATTTTGGCTGCGCCCCAACCTCGGTTGGCCAATTTGCGCCTTGCCCTGGCTCATCCCCCGGCAGCCGCAGCCTGCACCCCCACCCGCCGGCCCTGCCCGCCGTGGTGATGCCTGAGGCCCCGCCGCTTTAAGTAATTCGTCTTTGCGCTGCCCGCTCTGACTCGACTCGCCGTTTGCGCTTTCGCTTGCGGCTGCTGACCAACAAATCCCCACCAGTTAGGTTCGCTCGTAGCCCGAGCCGACTCTTCCTGCTGCGGGCGCCTTCGCCTGTGGCCGCGACGAAAAAGTATCCCCACCAGCCCATTCAGAAACCCTGCCCACGAGAGCTGACGGGAAAAGGGACGAAGGGACACATCTAGGGAAACAAAGCGAGCAACCAGGATGAACCGATTGATCTGTGGGAGCAAGGGGGTGGCCTTGGAAGGCCCCTTCGGGCCATCCCTGGGGGCCGCGTGGGGGCGAGGGGAAGAGGGGGAGGACGAGGAAGAGGAGGTGGAGGGATCCAAAGAGTGTGATCTCTGGTGCTGCTGCTGCTGGTGGTGCTGCTGATGTTGTTGCTGCCTCTGCTGATGCTGCGGCTGGTTCCCTGGAAGGCCTGCTGGGGCCATCCAGGAGAGCATCGATCAAAATACGGGGGGTCCTCGACTTCGGCCCCCTCGAGCCCTCCAAATCGCCTCTTGGAGCTCTCCTGGGGCTCCTTGGGAGGGTATGGGAGCTCTCTTGGGTTTTTTTTGAGGGTCTTGGGGCCCTCTTGGGGCTCTCCTGGGGCCCTGTGGGGAGCCCTGGAAGGCCTCTTGGGGCCATCTTGAAGGCCATCGATCAAAGGAGGATATGGTATACCGTTCAGCCCTTCCCCAAAGAGGCCACAATGGGGCCAAAACCTTGGAAACAACCAATGATTTGGGCGCCCAGAGGGCTGGCGGGGTAACGTTCCCCCCCCGAAGAGGCCAACATTGGGCCAATACCTTAGTAAAACCAATGATTTGGGCGCCCAGAAGGCTGGTGGGACATTCCCCCCCCCCCCCAAAGAGGCCAACATGGGGCCAAAACCTTAGAAAAAGCCAATGAGTTGGGCGCTCAGAGGGCTGGCGGAATAACGCCACCCCCCCAAAGAGGCCAACATTGGGCCAAGACCTTAGTGAAACCAATGATTTTGGCGCCCAGAGGGCTGGTGGGACATTTTTCAGCTCCCCCCCAAAGAGGCCACAATGGGGCCAAAACCTTTGAAAAACAAATGATGTTGGCTTCCTCGCCGAGGCCGGTTTGGATGCCCTGACACCTCGCGGGCCCCCTCAAAAAAGTCCAGGGGAGGGGTGAGGGGAGGGGTCAACCCCTCCCCGTAGGGGAAGCGTTTTTTTTGGAAGAGGGACGAGGAATCTCGTTAGACCACCTGCGCCCAGACGGCTGGTGGGATTAGGTCGCCTCCCAAGGGGTTAGGGGCCCTTTTCTGCTTAATCAAGGTGCCGGAGGAAGCGGAGCGCGGCGAGTTTCTGGCCTGTGAGCTGAGCTCGGCGGCGAGCGAGGGGGGAGGCGAGAAGGAGGAGGCCTTCTCGGGCGGCGGGACTTCTCAGAGGCCATCGTGTGTCTTCCATCGAGGGTTTTTTTTGTGCCTCCGGGGAAGGCCTAGAAAGCTTCTCGGAAGGCTGGGAGACCGGCGCACCAAGGCTGGTGGGCCCATTTTCCACCGCCACCGCCATTAGTAGGAGGGGGAGGGGGTCCTCCTCTTCTTCCTCCTTTTCTGCCTCCTCTTCTCCCTCTTCTTCCTCCTCCTCCTCCTCCGAGATTTCTGAGAAGGCCCGCCCCTCCTCACTTCCCCCCCGGGCTCGCCGCCGACGAGCGCCCCGGAGCCCCGCGCGGTGTGCCTCACGCGGGGCGCCGGCCGAGTGGGCGGCGCCGCGGTGGCGGGCGGCGGCGAGCTCATCGTCATCCAGGCTTCCGTCGTGCGTGTCCCTCTACAGGAGGAGTATTGAAAAGTAGGCCAAACACAGTCAGGGGATGATCTCCGACTACTTTCGGCTGTTTTAGGGGCGTTTTTGTTTTGACTCTTTTTGAGTTTTCTTCCAACATTCGCCTGTAGGAGGAGGAGGAGGAGGAGGAGGAGGAGGAGGAGGAGGAGGAGGAGGAGGCTGGAGGAGGAGGGGGAGAGGGAGAGGGGGATGGGCAAGCTAGGTGCGCTCGCGTCATATCTGACATCCTACCCCTCCCTCCCATCCCTTACCATGGCGTAGATCCCCTCTCTACTCGCACAGTCGGATGTCGAGCAGGGCAATGATCCCGAAAGGGTACGCGATGCATTGTAGAGCACGGCATGGTATGGCGTAGAAGAGCACCGCAAAGCGTAGTATCAACCTAGCATTGCATTGCATGCCGTGGCATGGCACTGGAAATGACGCCAGCGATGCAGCGGGAGCACGAGTCGGAACGAGCGGAAGCGCGGAAATGAGGCCAGCGCTGCAGCGGGAGCACGATTCGGAACGAGCGGAAGCACGGAAATAAGGCCAACGCTGCAGCGGGAGCACGATTCGGAACGAGCGGGGCCCGAAAATGAGGCCGGCGCCTCAGCGAGAGCAGCATTTTGGACAAAAATGTAGGCGAAAACCCAGCTCCAGGGAATCCTGTGTGTAAAAAACAGTACGCACGGGGGGGGAGCTAACACTTTCAAGCCGTCATCAGGGGAAGAGGGAGAGTAGTACATATAATGTCGGAGTGTTGGGGCCCCCGGCCCCCCCGGGACATAATGACAAATGGGGCCACCCCCTGGGTAACCCCATTTAGCTTCCGGAGCCGGGGACCTGTTTTGTGCCCGTTACGGGCTGGTCTCACCCCCTGGAACGCTCCATGGACGGGCCGATATGCCTTCCGGACGGCCCAAGATGGATTCAAGACGGCCAAAAAGGCTCCCAAGACGCCCCAAGAGGCCCCCAAGAGGCCCCCCAAGAGTGCCCCAAGAAGCAAAAATCGTCCCATTCCCTTCGGAAAACGTAAATTTTTAGCATATTCGCCTCTTGGGTTTTCACAGCGTCCACGATGGCCCAAGAGGCTCCCAAAACGGCTCAGGAGACACTCAAGAGGGCTTTAAGACAGCCCAAGAAGGGCCCAAGACGGCCGAAGAGATTTTTTTTGACAGGACCTCGGGATGAGTAAACAAGGCGCAAGCTCCCGCAAACAAGCACTTCGACTGTAAGGGACTGCCGCCACAGGCTACCTCCTTTGAGGTCCGCGGCGGCAGTCTGTCGGTGCCCTCGGGTGCGGTTGGGGAGCGGAGAGCTGGCAGCCGCAGCGCGAGCCTCTAAGAGGCGGAGCGCTTCCGAGACACACGACAAAACACAGCAGCTCGGGTACCCCACCAGCGGGCCACCGCTGCACGTAACAAAACACTTGTAAGTGAAAGAAACCAGCGAAGAGAGGGCCAGGCCCAGGCAGCCTGGCCTCTGCGACGCCGCGACACGAGCCACGGTCGGGGCCGTCCAAAGACAGCCCCCGTGCTCGGATGGAAATCAACACGGACGTGTGTGCCATGCGCCTTCCCCTAGAGCGGAGTGCCTGACAGACGGCCGAAGAGGCCTCCAGGACGGCCCCAGAGAGCCCCAGAACGAGCCCAAGATGGGTCCCAGAGCAGGAAAATCAAGTTCAAATTTCGAGCTTTCGGCCCCAGGAGGCACCCAAAGGCCCCAAGACGTCCCAAGAGGCCCCCAAGAGGCCCCCAAGACATCCCTAAGAGGTTCCCAGGAGGCCCCAAAGAGGCCCCAACACTGCCTGCAATACACTTCCGAGAGGCTTCGAAGATGCATCCAAGACGCTCCCCAAGAGGCACCCAAAATTGGCTCCAAGATGCCCCCAAAACGTATTCGTTTTATACAAAAGTGTTGCAAACCATATGTTCTTTCATGGATTTCACGCTCCCTGATGGCGCCCCACTTTAAGGGTAGCTCTTTGGGAGATGTTATAGAGGATCGGGAGTATAGCCTGCGCGTCGCTGCCTTATGGCTCAAGGCACGCGCGCCCTATTTGCCCGGACACTGACCTTAGTGTTCGCTACGCGAAGGAAAGATGATTACATCGATCCTATCCTATCTTACCCATCCACACCCCATATCGTATTCCTTCGACATGGAATTTGATGCTATATGACCTACCAGAGTCATTTCAGACTTGGTAGCGGAGCTGGCCGCACCCTCGTGTGGTCAGCTATTGCTCTTCTTATCCTCACGCTACACGGCACGATCCTCGTGACCAATCTCTACCCTGCGCCATCACTCCACCGACATTTATTAGGATCAATTCAAGAACAAAAATCAGCACGAGAGGTACGACGTCTAGACAACAACATTGGTACTATATACGCTTCATCACTACGCTACCACCAACCGCTCGGCAACGAGCCAAAAGCGCAGCACTTGAAGCGTAGGCGGGGAGACCCGCAAGATAAAGCGCCTCGTAGACTTGACAAGGCGCTGAAAGCCCTACCCCAGCGCGGCAAAGCGCCCGATAACCACCCATACCTCCACAGCTTAGGCTTGGTTATCTTCGCCATTCTATGGTTTGCGCTGGGGGCGGCAACCGGACACATGCGCCGAGGAGATAATAGCACCGATGGGCAAACACATGGCCCATACTGGGACCCCCAAGGCACCGTGCCCTTTCGCGAGTACGTCTACGAGGTCAACGCTTGGCTTAACGTCGCGAGTGGACGCATGACGCCACAAGCCCAAGCAGCCGCCATGCAACGCGGCCTGGGCGGCCTAGCGAGGACACTCGCCATGAGTGTACCACCTGACATCATAAACTATGGTGCGGACATCGATGGTGTCCACACCGACCCAGTAACATATATTATGTTCCTCCTAATCATGAACTTCGAACGCCTGGAAGATGAGCGTCAGCTCACCTCGGGCAATCAGCCCATTGACTTGCACGTGCCTCGCGGAGAACGAACCGACGTAACCCTTACTCGGTTCGAAATGGCCCGTCTTGAGGCACAATCGGTGGGCTTTGACCTTCCCAACTTCCAACTGCTTACAACCGTCCGATTCCGCGCTCTGGGCGTTGGCAACCAGCGAGCCAGGCAACTCTTGCAACCGCTCAACCATCAAATGCCCCGAACACAACAACAATATGAAGAACTGTGTGAGGGGATGCGCTCGATAGGCCATTTGTCAGAACGGTCCCCTGGCAACATAGGATCAGTGTTTGGAAAGGGGAAGGGGAACTGGCAGTGGAAATTTCTATGCTACCTTAACCACTGAAGCTCAGCCTGGCAACGGGCCCTCAAGCATGTGGGCCGACGATCCTGGAGAATCTACTGCCCTACTCGCAGGGGATCGATCGCAACCAAGCTGGGCAACCAGCCCTCCTCCTAGAGAACCTCAGCCTCACCGCTCTCTATGGGGGGAAGCGAATCCCCTAAGCGACGGTGTAGCCACCTACCTAGGTAACGACGACTTCGACTCAGGCACCGAGACCGACGCGATATCATCAGATGACATCGAACCGCTAGACTGTTCAGATATTATGCAAATGGAAGGTGATAATCAACGCGCCGAGCATCTATTTTGGTTATTACAACAAGCAAAGCGTAGGTGGAGGAGGTTTACACAAAAACCAGTGCGTCGTGTTAGGGGGAGGATACGGAGGAGCTTCAAAGGAACATGTAAAAGCAAACGGGGTCGCCGAAGGTTGAACGGACGAGGCATCGCGGCTTTCCGCCAGAGGCTTTCAGATGATCAGTATGATGAGATATTCTTCGGGGGAAAAGGCAGTGGAAAAGGCCGTGGGGGACACCTCAGGCAAAGGCAAAGGCAGGCGGGGAAGCCCGCGAGGTAGAGACGGCCAGATCTTGAAGTGCCATGAATGTGATAGTACCGATCACCTTGTGAAGGATTGTCCAGCGACCGGGAATGGGAAGGGTAGATCGACAGAAGTCCATTTAGGCTCAAGTGAACCTGCCATTGAGTATCTGGGCCTCCAAGACTTCGAGGCTGTGGAACATATATTTTTCATTTGGGTCAGTAACATGGGCACTCTGGACGAGATCGAGGCGCGCGGCCATGGGCTCTACGCGTGCTACCTCGAGTACCTCCGCAGGTTCGTCTACGGAGCCATCGAGCTCACGCCTGTGGAAAATGGAACGCTGGGAAACCAGCCCCTTTCTTTCTTCGGCTGGATGTTCGGTAATCCAGGTAACATCATGGCCCACGAGAGCAGCGACGAGGACATCACTGTTGAGGCCTCACCTTCGCAGGTTGATCACAACCTCCGACGTCAACCTGACCCCATGCCTGGAAACAGGCCCACTCCTGTGTATCCGCCAAATGACGGCGAACTGATGGAACTGGAGGCTCTATATGGAACTGGAGGCTCTATCCTCTACCGTGGGCGTGCCAGGCAATCCTCGCGAGCCACCTGGCTTGCTCGCGCCGGGCGAGTACGGACCATGCACGGTGCTGCAGACTCTCATGCAGATGCACGCCGTAGAAGCTGAAGAATATCCTGATAGTCAACAGCGCGTTGAAAGTGGCCACATGATGCTGCAAGACTCCGATGTCTGCGATGACTCGGAATTGCTGCTGGCGGCCCTTACTCCCATCGACAGCGTGCTCCCTGACGACGTGCAGCGACACGTGTGGTATGCACAAGGGCGTTGGCGCCAAGCCCTGAGAGGGCCATCACAATGCGTGGACAGGCGCTTCCCCCGCCTGGATGGGGTCTCCAGGCGGTGGGGCTACAGCCCAACCATGCGGCCATGCGAAGCGTCATCGGGCAGCCCTCTTATGACTATGATCAGCTTGAGGCGCACTCCGTGCTCGGCAACGAGCCTGAGCCGACCGCAGTACCGCCGGCGCCGGGACAGCCAAGCGATGCTCAGACGCCTTTACACCAGGGAAACCTGCCCGTCCCGGCTGGGCCAATGACCATTGTCATTGGCAATCCTACTTTTGAAGTTGAAGAGGATGACGGATGTGGAATGTGCGAGGACGAGGCCACCATCCTCATGATGGAAGTCAATGGCGAAGACGAGGAGGTGGACTT